AGATGAAAGTGTGGAGTGTCTATAAACCAACTGGCCCCAGGTGGCAGCCAATAAAGTTAGTGAACAAAACACTGATACAGTCTCCCTCCCGGAGATGCAGCATGAAGTACCACAGACGGCGTGACCTAAGCCACAGAAAGTCATCCTCTCCCAGATCCAGAGGCTGGAAGTCTGAGGCATCAGAAGGGTTAGTTCCTTTGAGGGTTGTGAGGAAAGAAGTCGTCCCAGCCTTCTGTCCTTGGCTGGTAGATGATCATCTTCTTCCTGTGACTCTTCATCCGTTTCCCTACGTCTGTGTTCAAATTCTTCTTTTACATAATCACATGGTTGAATGAGAGGCCCGTCCCACTCCGATATGACCTCATCTTAATCAATGTACCTGTAATGGCACTGTTTCCAAATGAGACCCATTCTGAGGTCCTGGGGGTTGGGACTCCCAACATACGGGTGGGGTCCAGAGTCAGAGTTCACCCTGCAACACTGCCTGGTGGCTTGTTTGGGTGAAGGCCATGTGAGCAGGATTTGCCCAGCCAGGGAAGCACCTGACTCCAGTATCTTAAGGGAGAGCTGTGAGCCATCTTGACCTCTGTGGGAGGAAGTCAGGAGAGCGACGTCCCTGAGAAGTAGAGAAGGTGGCATCCAGTGACAGGTGGGGGAGTTCCCTTGGGCACAGGAGAAGACAGTTCCTCTATTGTCAAGAGGAGCAGGTGAGGGGATGAGTTTGGATGCCAAGTGAACCTGCAGATGTGGAGGAGGGAAGCTGAGGATGTTCCCTACGGACGGCTCCTGCTGTCTTCCTGAAGCAAGAAGGGGACTGGCTACCGAGGATCACAGTGGGTTTTGGGATCAGAACTCAAGAGAGACACAGAGACAATAAAATCAGAGATTCTGAGGAGAGTGAGGAGAGTTTGAAATAGCCACTGATTCTGAATTGCAATAGCCCGCTAGGTCTAGAGCAGGCACTCGATGGCTATGAACGAAGATCTATTATGAGTTTAATAGATAAGTAGACAGATGGAAGAGAGCTGGCCAGGGACCAGGGAAGGACTGCTTGGCAGTAACAAGGACCCAGATGATGTTAGCGACTGTGGGTTTATAGTGGCACCCTCTGCAGGGTGTGTGGTTTTTGCAGCAGTGTTCAACAGCTGGGCAATGGATGTAGAGAAAGTAAACAACTGAGTTTATGCAAGGCTGGGCTTCAGCCAGGTGGATGCATGAAAGGGACCAAGGGGCAAGGAGGTGGAACACAGTTTGGCAAAAGGAAGTGAGTTGAGCAAGCTCAGGGACCGAGTAGGTAGAGAAGGAAGCGAACAGGTGCGGAGGCAGTGCCTATTTCTGCTAAAGAGGTTTGTCTGTGTCCTCATTTTCAAGTGGCCAGAGCACATGGTAATTGTTATCTCTAGAAGGAACAGATGCTGCCAGATGGGGCATGCTAATGAGCTGCAAGCTGATGGACTCCCCCAGCTGACCTTCTCCTCTACAGCGTGCTGACTGGTTCCAGCCAGCACACATTCAGCAATCTGTATCCAGGGCTGCCACAACTATCAGAGCAGGCTCTCAGATAGGCACATCCCTGTGAATGCATCAGTCAGTTTCACATTACTAAAGCAAAATACCTTAGACAAGCTACCTATGAAGAAAAAAAAAATTGTGTACAGTTTGTGATGTTCAAGTCCAAGATCAAGAGGCCCCATTTGTTTTGAGGCTCTGATGAAATCGGCCTCTCATGGTAGGAGCTTGTCAGAGTGAGTGTACATCTCTTGCCATGAAGTAGAGAAGAAGAGACCAGAATACCACAGTCCCCTTTGAGAGCGTACCCTCAATGACCAAAGGAATTCCCACAAGGCCCCACCTCCAAAAGCTTCAAGCACCGCCTAGTGGTGCTACTGTAGGGACCACGCTTTAACACAGGGGCTTTATGGGGGATGTTCAAATCCAAACTAGAGCAGAGAGGTTGAGGTTGGTGTACACAGTCGGTGCGATGGTTTACCCCCAGGTTCATCTGCTAGTCTCTGCTTTACAGTAGCATACTGGACAAATCTGTTTAGCTCTTGGATTTTATTTCTACTTATTTTCTAAGGTTACAGATCTTCCCTAAGATTCCTTAGTTTAAGATAAAACCTATGGTTATTAGCATAATATTATTTTTCTTACTATGTACCTATACCCATATTATAAGCAGTAAACTTGGAACTCCAAATTACTGTAATCATGTTGATGTCTTCATGGACACATCGTGAGGGGGAAACCTAGACACATCTTATTGTTATTTTTCCCATAATTTTTATTGGTACGTTATAATTGTACACATGCTGGAACTCATTGTTACAGGTCCATACGTGCATCCAATATTCACAGTATAATTTGGCCAATATCGCTCACTAGTATTTCCCTCCCGCCCCACTCATACACCCTTTTCCTCTACTGCACAGGTCTCCGTTTTCTTTTCATGAGATCTCCCCTTCCCCACCTTTCTTTTCCCCTTTTCCTGTCTCGCTTCCAAGTGAGAGAGAACATACAACCCTTCACTTTCTGAGTTCGGCTTATTTGCTTAACATAATGTTCTCAAGTTCCTTCCATTTTCCTGCATACGACATAATTTCATTCTCCTTTATGGCTGAATAAAATTCCATTGTGAATATGTACCATATTTTCTGTATTCATTCACCCGCTGACAGACGCATAGGCTGGTTCCATAGTTTGGTTATTGTGAATTCGGCTGCTATAAACATGGGCGTGCATGTATCACTGTAGTGTGCCGACTTTGATTCTTTAGAATAAATACCAAGGAGTGGTATCACTGGGTCCTATGTTGGTTCCACGCCTTGTCTTTTGAGGAACTTCAAAACTGATTTCCATGGCGATTGTATTAATTAATTGTAGTATGACTCCACCAACAGTGCAGAAGTGTTCGTTTTCCTCCACATTCTCTCCGGCAGGCATTTGCATTGTTTGTATTTTTGATGGCTGCCATTCTGACTGGAGTGAGTTGAAATCTCAGTGTAGTTTTGATTTGCACTTCAACAATGTTGAATATTTTTTCATGTATGTATTGGCTCTTTGTATTTCTTATTTTGAGAAATTCTGTTTAATCCATGTGCCCATTTATTAATGGGGTTATTTGTTCCATGGTGTGAAGTTTTTGGAGCTCTTTACCTGTTCTAATCCTCTGTCAGAAGAGTTGCTTCCCACTCACATTCCTAATTGTTTCCTTTGCTGTGCAGAAACTTTTTAATTTGATGCTGTCTTATTTATTTATTAACTCTTGGCATTATTTCCTGAGTTTCAGGCTCCTATTGAGAAAATCATATGATGGAGTGTTGACCCTACATTTTCTTCTAGGAATTGCATCGTTTCTGATCCAATCCCAAGGTCTTTGATCCATTTTGAGCTGACTTTTGTGCAGGATGTGAGATAAGAGCCTAGTTTCATTCTTCTGCATATAAATAACCAGTTTTTCCCAACACCATTTGTTTAAAAGGCTGTCTTTTCTCCATGGTATATTTTTGGCACCTTTGTCAAGGATCAGATGACTGTAGATGTGTTTGTCTCATGCCTTCTATTCTGTACCATTGGTCTATGTGTCTATTTTTATGTCAGCACCATGCAGCTTTTGTTATTATAGTTCTGTAGTATAATTTGAAGTCAGATATTTTGATTCCTCCAGCATTGCTTTTTTATTTGTTTGATTTTTTTCTCTTTTTCAGTACCAGGGAATTGAACCCAGGGGCACTTAACCACTGAGCCAGATCCCCTTCCCTTTTTTATATTTTATTAGAGACAGGGTCTCACTGAGTTGCTTAGGGCCTCGCTAAGTTGCTGAGGCTGGCTTTGAACTCACAGTCCCTCTGCCTCTGCCTCCTGAGTCTCTGGGATTACAATGTGCACCAGCATGCTTCCAGCATTGTTTTTTTGGCTAATTACTTTGCTTATTCTGGGTCTTTTATTCTTCCAAATGAATTTTAGGACTGTTTTTTTTCCCCTAGTTCTATGAAGAATGTCATTAGTATTTTGATGCAGATTGCATTGAACCTAGAAATGTTTTAGAGGGACAATGCCCCTAATTATTCTTAGTACAAAATGGTTAAACTACAAGAAATATCAAATATTATCAGAATTCACGGAAACTATTACCAGGCCGCTGAGACTATGAATTGATTTAACCTTTTTGGAAAATGGCTTGGTATTTTCTACTAAGCTTGAAAATGTGCACATTTATCATCGAGCAATTCTATTCTCAAGTATACCCAAAATAGAATTAGATAAAGATCTCTGAAGCAGCATTATTAATCATGGTCTAGCACTAGAAACAACTCCATTGTCCATCAACATAAATATGGATGGGTAAACGCTGGTCTATCCATAAAATGGAATACCATGTAACAATGAAAATGATAAACTATAGCTATCGGCTTCAACAGAGATGAATTTCATGAACATGAGGCTGAGTTGAAAGCCAACACAAAAGAACACACATACTGTCAGCTCTGTTTATACCAAATTCAAAATAGAAAAAAGTGATTATATAAGAATGCAGACTTAGAGGGGTGACGTTTGCAGAAAAGCAAGGAAGAGAAGACCAGAAGTCAGGGTAGTTACCTTTCAGCAGACCCACCCCTGATGGAAAATTTAGGCAGGAAATTGCCACATTTATTAATGGTGTACCCATAAATATGCTCTTGGTACTATTGGATCATATAGAAATTAAAACCCTGTACTTGGTATTATATGCAATTAAATTTTTCTTTTCATTTTCATTTCATGTTTTTTTTCTGATTTCTATCATGGGCCATAAAATAAAATATTAATATCTGATGTTCTTCCATATAATAAAATTTCAGGATTTACTGGAGCATTAACCAAAAATAAATAAATAAATGTGCAACTTCAGGTAAAAGTACAAATGGAGAACTGCATATTATGGGCCTAAATATTTAAGAATTATCACTCATGCTAAGAAGCTGTTAAATAAAAGTGCTCCCTCCTCCTACCTGGACACTCACCTCTTCAGGGCACCTGGAAGGCCAGGTTGGGCCTCAGAACTCTTGGATCCCTTGGAGGTTCTTGCTGGAGTTTGTGACACAAGCAGTAATGTCCTTCAGGCCCAGGAATCCACCTTCACGTCCCATCCTACACCCCAAGGAAAATGTCCATGAAGACTTGGAAGTGGGTTTAGATCCATTTGAAGAGAGAACTCCCATATCCCAGTGCTTGGTGCATATCTATAGAGGGAGATATGGGGTTCAGGGGCGCACAGACTCCTCTCCCATGGAGAAGGTATGTGGCTAACAGACGGACAGAAGGTCCTAAGTCCAAGGCCTCAGCCAGGGTCCCCCTGGCATGGAGCTAAAGGCCTTGAAGGGAAAGAGAGAGATCGTATTGGAGGGAGCACTCAGAAAGCTTCTGGGGTCCAGAAGAAATCTGTGTCCTCACCTGGGTGGCAGCTACACTTACAGCATTTAGAGCCATTTCTCAATGCATGTTATATTTCCCAGGAAATAATTAATGAAATATATAAATTGTGCAAATGCCTGTGTGTGTGTGTGCACGCGTGCATGCACACCTGGGTGTTTCTTGGTGCTGTAGAAGATAGGATCCACAAACACAAATAAGTGCACTTACAAGTGCAGACATCTCAGACATTAAACTGCTTCCTGGTATGAGCACCTAGGGACAATGGACAGAGTGCTGGCTGGTGACAGCTACCCTCCTGCTGGTCCTCTGCTCCATCTGGGGTGAAGATGCTTGGGTAATTGTGCATGAATTCAGGCAGAGCAAATGAGTCATGGGCCCATGTCCTCTTGCCACTGAAAGGGCCTCAGAGGAAAATTCCTCTCCCTCCTCTTTGCCAAGATTATAAATACTATGTTTACCAAACCAAAATTACAGGAGACTCTTCCTATCTAGTAGAAGCAAAGGGAGAGCAACTCCCAATTACCCTCTGTTTGGAATGCAGTTCTAAGAAGGCTTCTTTTCCTTCTCATAGGGGCAGCTGGGTGGGTTCCTGAAACAGTTGGCTGAGCATCTACTATGTGCCAGACGTGGTCCTTATTTTTCTGCTCCACCACCCACTTAGTTTTGATTTTTCATTCTTAATAGGAAAATACTATTTTTACAAAGATTCGGATTACCCATATTCAAAAGGATTTCCATGTATCCCAAGTGGTTTAAAAATCAGGTTCATATATTCTAAGAATATACATTTCAATAATAGTTCATAAATTCACACACACACACACACACACACACCCCACTTCAAAACTGTGAGAAGATGAAATGGAAAGTAAAAATGGGCCAGTACAAGCCCACCAAAAGTCCAGTTGATTTTTCTTCTAAAAAAATAAAAAATAAGTTCTGGGCTTTCCACTTAAGCTATTTGAAAGTCACATTTCCAAAACACCAGTTTTCCTCCTTTCTGGAAACCATAAAAGCATATGATTCAAGTGACCTTGTGACTTGTGAGAGGTAGAATCAGGCACATTTGGTGTCTTCAAACTGATAAAAGCAGCAACATATTAAATTGGATTAAAGGGGCTAATGAGGCAGCAGGGACGAGAACAAGCTAAATCAATGACTAAAGCTATAGGTGGCAGCCAATGAGGGATCCCTCCTACCTGCACTAGTGATGAGGAACATCTGGAAGCACTCACCCCTCACTCGAGACTCAACCGAATGTCAACCATCTCCCTCTGTGCTGTAACTGAACCCATTGTATAATTGACCAGAGTAACGGTAGCATTTCATGGCGCTGTGTTTCTTTATTTTGCCCAACTTGACTCTGGGCTCTGTGAAAACAGGACCATACTTGATGCATCTTTGAAGCTGAAGCTCACATAGCCAAAGCGCCAACATGGTTTCCATATTGAATGGATGATGGGTTCCATTCATGAGTCTACGGATTTGGCTTTCATGACTGCTATGATGCAATCCTGAAATGACAAAAGGGTCTTTAACCCTTCCAGAGTTCACTCACCTTCCCCTTCCTAAATTCTGTTTTCAGGTTCGGTGAGCTGTGAGTTCCATAACATGAGACCCTGGCAGGAGCACATCACATGTTCTTCCAGCAGAGTTATGAAAAGGAGGAAGCTGGCCAACAGACGGATACACTGGAATTGTCCTCCTTGAGTTCCAGAACTCCATCATCCCTTGGGGGAAAATGTGGTCGAGGGTGAGTAGGGGCAGAAAAGGCATACATTTTCTGACCCCCCTTTTCTCTCAATGTGGACTAATTCTTCTAAAACAACAATATGAATGGTGTTCCATTGTCATATGAGATATGCAACTAATATTTTTTGGGGAAAAGTACATTAATTTTAGGCTGCGAGATTTTGCATTTGGTGAATTTTTAACATGGATAGGCTGATGGTCACAGGGAATCCCATTTCACCCACGAATCTCTGGGGAAGGCATCTTCTGGGATACTGGTAGCATATTACCCTTAGTACAGCCGGTGCCTGAGTGAGTCTGAAGCTATGCAGAGGCTGATCACCCAAATAAGGATTAGCCTGTCCTTGAGGCCTCATTTTTCTGCCAATAACCTTAAGCCACTGGACTTCCATTTTACCACTCCACAAGAAAATTGAGTTGGCCTGAGACAGAAGTTAGGGTTAGGAATAGTCAATTCCCCCATGTAACTAAGGTTTCCTAAAGATTTTATGAAAATTAAATGGAAAAATACATGTAATTGGATCTATTAAATGGTTTCCAAGGGAGGCAGGCATCACGACCTGATGAAGTAGCATTGGGAATCATGGAGGTCTGGATTTATGTCCTTTCTCTTACACTTGGTAGTAGGGTTGGCCATGACCCAGTTACTTAACCCTTTTGAATCTGTTTCTGCATTTATAAAATGGTGATAGGAAGATGGTTTAGAGGAGGAAATGAGAAAATGTACTTAAAGTAATGCACTCAAAAGAAAAAGTTTAATTCCTGTATGCATTGAGATCAATCATCCATTGTATGTATCACAGAGAGAAACAACCATCAATTACACACACACACACACACACACACAAACACCCAATTAACCCAGTAAAAAAAAATAGAAAAAAAATTAAAGTACTGAGAAGCCATGTCAATCTGGAGAAGGCTCTATCTTGCAGGAAAAAGGCTGTAAGTCAATATAATGATAAATATTTTCTTTAAACATTTTGATAAACAAGTAAAAGATTCCCCTGGAGTTAACTTTTTTTTAAAGTTCAATTCTCATATTCATTGTGATGTTTTAAGGTAAAATAATTGATCTCTTAAAAATCTCCTTCGGTCCTGGGATTCTGGGAAAAAATCTGTCACAGAATTGGAAGCTTCAGAGGTTTCAATCAAACCAAATCACTAATTCAAAGTGGAATTAATGACATTGATCTGTGACTCCCCAAGCCATTCAGCAAGAATATTCATTTCTTTGTGTCTCTAGTGAGACAAAATCATCTCTTCTCAGCCAGCTTTGCAAAGCAGACAAAAAACAGAACCCAAAAAGTCTTCTCTGCCGGAAGCCAGCGATGCATTCCGTCTGAGACCCCGCACTGAACACTAAGTTATTTCGAACACGTGTTGTTCTCAACTTTTGGTCCTGAAGATCTAAAAACCAGACAACTCCACCTCCTGAAATCTTCAGTGAGCTTTAGAATTATCTGTGAGCAGAGTGGAAATCTCCCTTGAGATCTGTAATTTCGGGACTTCTGCATATTTTCCCCTCATCATTGAACTTCATTTCCGTGTACACACACACACACACACACACACACACCCTACTAGGCTAAATAGAATGCAAATATCTGGCAGCTGTCATTATCACCTAATGAACATTAGTGCCTCCTAAGGATATATCTCTGATGTTTTGGGGGTAGGAGCAGCATATAGCTCAAGGACACATAATCGAAGCCATACTGCTTGACTCAAATGCCAGCCCTGAACAAGGCACTTAACTTCTCTGGGCCTCAGTTTCTTTACCCATAAAATGAGTATAAGAATAGCACCCACTTTAAGTGGTGATGATTAAATATGTAAATTATTTAGAATGTAATCCCCACCTACTAAGCCCTCCATCTATCCTTCTGATGACACCCTGAGTTCTATAAGAAGCACATGAGAAGTGCAGTTGGGGGTTGGGGCACAGCTCCTGGTAGAGCGCTTGCCTCTCATGTATAAGGTCCTGGGTTCCGTCCCTGGCAGCTCACAGAACTCACTAACAGGAAAAGACAGGAGAAGCAGGGTGTAGGGAAAGCCTGGTGGGAGACAGGCCTGGGAACCTGGTGCGGGGCTGCAGGTTACACTCGGTGGCTCTCCTGAGCTTCCTTAAGCTGCAGGTTCCTGGTTCCAGAGCAACACTGAAGATCCGCAGGTGTGGGCACTGCCAGGAATGATCCTTGGGGAAAAGTGCTTAGCTCATAAATTCTCTTAAAATTAAGCTCCCTGAAAAAACCCTCAGAGAATAAAAGCAAGCCCTAGGCCACTGTATAAATACAAGCAGGAGCAGAAGCGCGAAAGTGGCCCCCACACCTGCGGGGCCTCCTGAGGGCTGCAGAGGGGCGAGGCAGCCCACCGCTCCCACCTGAGTTGTTTGGTTTTGCCCATTTCCAGGGAGCGGCGGTTAAACATTGGCCAGGGCTGCACTGGCCGGGGTGGAGAGGCTGCCTCGGAGAGCCTGAAGGCTTTGAAGAAGAATCTTTTCAACTGCAAACCTGTTTCTTTGGCATTCTTACCCTTTCCCCTCCTCCTAGGGCAGGAAGCTGGCAGTTGGGCATTCTGTGTTTTGGTTTATCTGGAAAAAAAAAAATCAGCCAAATTGAACTCTTGCTTCACAGAGGACCAAAAACGTGTTGACTGAGATTTTGAAAATTTTACCCTCCCCGCCCACGAAATACAAGTTAAACACGGGTCCAGGTAGTCATCTACACTGTGAATTTACATCTTCCCTAGGTTTGTGGTCAGTGTCCTAAAAGGGAGGTGCCGTGAAGAGGGGTAATTCACAGATCCCCTAACCTCCCCTTGAAAATATGATTATTCTGATATCTTTTAAGGAATATGAAAACTCCACTTGGTGAAAATTTTCACTGTGCATCATCATATTTAAAAGATAGTTTAACTTGTTCAGATTTCTAGGTGGTTCCTTACGAGTAAAGATGAAAGAGTGGGGATCAAATGAAGAAGCACCCCTAAACCTGCCTGTATTTGTGTGCTCTGTACCGCAGCCTGGGTGGCTTGCACAACAGAAATCTATTTTCTTGCAGTTCTGGAGGCTGGAAGGCCAGGACCAAGGTGTTGGCAGGGTTATTTTCTCCTGAGGCCTCTCGCCACGGCTTTTAGATGCCATCTTGTCCCTGGTCTTCATGAGTTTTCCTGTCTGCCTGTGGCTGGGTTCTGATCTCTTTTCAGAAGGACACTAGTGATCTGGATGAGAGCCCAGCCTCATGGCCTCACTTTAGCTTGATTACTTCTGTAAAGACCTTGTCTCCAAATAAAGCCTCATTGTAAGGTGGCACGGGTGCAGACTTCAGCATGCAAACCGAAGGACATGGCCAATTCAGCCCGTCCCTCTGCCTAAACATGAGCCTAATGTATCCACAAGGGCAACTCGATTCAGTAACATCCCAGGTCACGTTCTGGGATAGAGACAGGAATGCAGGTGTTTTATGAAAAGTCCTCACTGTCAAGACAGCAAAATAAGCAGGATTAAATAGAGAGCAATGTCAACATTAAAATAAAGACCACAGCTAATCACAAGGGCCCTCTGGAGCTGAATGGTCCTTCAAGTTGTCCAGAATTGATATCAGGGGGCTGAGACATTATGCCCTACCTGGACCAGAAGGTGGGTGGGTGCAGCCCCAGGAGGAGGCACTAGGTACATGAAGCCGTTCTCCTCAGTCGGGGAATCTCTGTGGGTTGCTAGTTGCCAACCCTTCAGTGGCTGGCAGAGGGAACAGCTGCTCAGCCTGAAGTGGGGTCTCTGGTTGGCGCATCCCAGGTCCACTACAAGTAGGAAGTTTACCTACCCCCCGTGAATTTTCCCCGGGTGAAACATTATCTTCTTCAGAAATTTTCATAGCCTAAGGAATGAGAACAAATATTTGCAAATCAAACAGCTAATAAATGTTTAATATCCACAATTTGCAAGTACTCACACAACTCAGTAGCAAGAAAATAGCCTGAATTTTAAGATGGGCAAAATAGCTAAGAAAGACATCTCTCAAAAGAAGGCACTAGAGATGGTCAACAGGTGTATGAAAAGATGCTCAACGCCACTAATCATCAGGGAAATGCAAATTAGAGCCATCACGGGATATCACCCCACACCTGTTAGGAAGGGTTTTAGTCAAAAGATAGATGTGTGGGTGAGAATGTGCAGACAAGGGGCCCCTTCCCCGCACTATTAGTGGGAAAGTTAACGGGTACAGCCATTACGGAAAACTATGGAGGTTCCCCAAAAAAGTAAAAATGGAACTGCCACCACATGACCCAGAAACTCACTTCTGGGTATATATCCAAAGGAATTGAAATCTGTAGGTTAAAGAGATGTCTGTGCACCCATGTTCAGAGCAGCATTATCCGCAATTTAAACCATCTATGTGTCTGTGGATCCAGGAATAGATGAAGAAACTGTGGTATATATATATATATATATATATATATATATATATATATATACATACACATGCATAGGGTAGAATACTATTCAGCCTTTTTTAAAAAAGGATATATATATATATATATATATATATATATATATATATATCTCAAAAGGCCAGCATAAAATCATGTATAAACCTTACATGTACACAATTTTTATTTGCCAGTTATGCCTCAATAAAGCTGGAAGAAATTTCTTGTAAAGTCACTCAGTAGATGAGTGTAACCTATCACGAATCCTAAAATATTTGGCCTGACACCGGGCACACAGAAGAGTGGCCAGGTGGCAGGTCAGGCCACGTGGCTTAGTAGGAAATGTGTATGCTGTGGATTCAAAGAGAGTTGGATGCAAATCTCTGCCCTGCTCTTTTGTAATATTGCATACTCTCTTTGAACTTCTAGTTTCTCTTTTGGACGTCCATGTCCCTGGCAGCATTATCCACAATTTCCAGTTATCCTTATCTTTTGCAAAAGAAAGATAATCCCAAGTTTGTTGGACTGTTACAAGATTTAAACAAAAAAAATACCTTGACACTTAGAATCAAGCATCATGTCTACCTTGATGCCTCACACACACACACATACATAAGCATCCAAAAATACATTATTTCCCTTTCCTTCTTTCCAGCCTATAGTTCAGTGGTGGTAACTGGTTAAAACCAGAGAGAAATACAAGTTTTATTTCCTAATTTGAAGGTGAGTGCTTCATGAATCCTGTGTGCTCAGAGTCACCTCTAAAGTCTGCTTAAATACAAATTGCCCAATCTCAATGAATCCAACCAGAGGGTCTAGGGTGGGGCGCAGTGATGTATTATTTTAGCAGGTTCCAAGGGGATTTCTGATACTCAGAAAATCTTGAGGCTTCTTGCTTGAAGCTGTGGATGCTGATCTTGTAAGAGGACTCTTCTTACCAAAGCTGGGTTGCCCTGTGCTTAGCAGGTGCTTGAGGACATTTTCACCTTTCTCATTGTCATGAGCTTTGTGGATATGGATCACCACATCACATCGCATTGCAAAGACCTCTCCCTCTTCACAAGTACTGCATATTCCAAAACTAAAGCATGTGTAAATCATGTTAGCTGTAGAATCAAACCAATTCTCCTTTTCGACATGTAGTTTTATTGAGGTATAAATCAGCACTAAAGGGCAATGTAGTGCAGACAGGAGTTGGGGGATGCAGATCCCCTGGGCTTGTCTGGAAAATGAGGAGCATATTCAAAGATGAAGTACCCTGCAGGTGTCAGAGTGGTTGGGCCTGCAAAGAGGCGCGTCTGGAGGGAGACCTCACAGTCTCGTTTTAATCAAGGACAGTGGACTCCTCCAGATGGGATTGCTGACGGCTCTCTGTGTTTGTTTATGGGTCACAAAGTCCAGCTGTATTGCAGTCTGCCAAGAAGACACTGACCAATGTCCCCAAAGTAAACAGGAGCTGCAATGCAGAAAGTGACCCCAAAGCTCAGACGGGCTTTCCTGTTCCTGCCAGACACTTTTTCTGATTGGACACTGGGTCAGTGGCTTTTCACTGTCTTCTGTGGTTTTCTTTTCCCACAACTAGGCTCCATTTATTCTAAAATATGCAGCTTTGGAGTTTGCTTGAAAATGGTGCTTTTACTCAGTAAAAATAAAGTGAAGATGAAAACTCTATCCGTGGGAATCCGGTCTGCAAAAGATGAAAGTAAGAGCGTCACAGAAACAATCTACTCTCCCCCGATGATCAATAGCCACCCAGACCTCACCGCTTTCCATACCACGGTGAAAAAAATTCTGGAAGCAGTGCAACAAAAACCTGGGGGGAGACTTCACAGTCTCATTTTAATCAAGGACAGTGGACTCCTCCAGATGGGATGGCTGAGATCCCTCGGGTGACCTTTGCTTGCCAACACCACCCAGATATCACAAAGGCAGAGCTGATCTTTGGTCCTCAGACCTATTCTGAGTGCTCTTATTGAGATGTTCATTATTGTTTCTCCACAATTTGCTTTGTTCTCTTTAAAAACTATCTCTTCAGTTTTGACGGGGTAGTATAACCCACACAAACTCACCATTACATTAAAAAGAAGTATGCGTCCCCTGTCCTTTAAGTATTATCCAGAGCCCTCTCAGTTTTCCACCAGCTCATTTTAGAGAAGCATCTTTGAGTATATAGTTGATATCTAGTTCTTCTTGCCCATGTTCTAATCTCTTTCTACCTCTGTCCTGTATTGTGCCATTTGTTAAATACACCGAATCTCAGAACTGGTAGCCATGTTAGTCAGGATAGTGCCACAGTAAGCTGCAGTAACAAGTAAGCCCTATAATCTCAGTGGCTCTACGTAATACAAGTGAGTTCTCCCCTGTGGAACAGCCCATCACTCCCCTGGGTAGTTATCCTCAGGAATCTGGGTTTCTTCCATCCTGTGGCTCCAGCGTCTCTGAGTCCTTCACTTCCAGCAGTGTAAGTGAGAAAGGTGTGGGACATTTTAGGGAGCAGGCTGGAAAGTGGAGTAAATCATGCACCCCAGCATTCACTTGGCCAGAACTCAGTTAGATGATCAACCAAAACTCAAGAAGGCAGAGAAATGCAGAGAGAGTACACAGGTGACAACACTGTCCACCTCAGAGAGAATTTAAAGGCCATTTTCTTTCAACTTCTTTAAGATTTTTTGGTTGAGGCAACTGAGACCCAGAGAACATACAAGTTTCACACAGCTAACCAGAGACAGCTCAGCTCACTGGTATTTGCCAAGGACCCTCTTACCCATTCCTATTGATTCTTATTAATGTATAAAAGCATTTATAAAGTGCCAAATATAATTGGAGATTTATTTCCAGACCTTTCTACCCAGGACTCCAGGATGAGGAAGGACATGACCACCCTGTTCTGAAGCCCACAGTTCCAGGGCAGCGCCTTTGGGTCTGAGAGCTGGGCCCAGGAGAGGGCTTCAGGGAACAAGGGCCAGTAGCAAACCCTAATTATGGGAAATGCTTCTTGGCTCCTAAGGGATATAAAATTACTTTGGGGAAAGGCAAGAAAAACAGAAACAGAATACCCTGTGATGTTTAATTCAGAGGCCCAACGTCACTTACGGAGCCTTGTATTCTGTACTTGATTCTGTCAAGATAACTTTTAGAGGATGGAGACGGAGCTGGTGGGTTAAGAAGTTCTGGATGGTGTCAGCCTGCTTTGCGGCCACCGGGTTGGCTCACAGACAATGAGTCTTGAAGGCTTGTCCTCAGTTGTGAGAAGGAACAGAGGCTCAGAAAATCCCAGATAAAGCTGAGGAAGTGGGCACAGGCAAGCGGGGTCTCCATAGGGGATGCTAAAAGCTGTCTGGGGAGGGTAAGGTTTCACCAGTGGAGACCACTCCTTTGCAGTTTAGAAACTCTGCATACAGTTTTGCACCACCTCTGTCTAGCTCAGTGTTAGCTGGGCAGTGGTTACATACCTATCTTTTAAAATCCTGACTTTACCATCACAGACTTTATATATGAACAGGATCTTTTTCCTGAATTTTCATCTAGAAATCTGGCCTGGACTAGTTGAAGACTGTGTGTTAGTGTTCCTGTTTTTAAGGAGCGAGGATAAATATTTTAATACTCTGACCCACCCACTCATAACAGCTAGGAAGGGAAAATAAATAAAAATAGCATCTGCCACTTGGCCACAAAGTATGCTATTGATTTAACCTATACGGTTTTTTTTAACCACACAAAATTTAATAATAATAGAAAATAAGTTTATAGCAGTGCCAGAATTAATTGCTTGATTTAGCTGCCCCTGCTCCCCCCATCAAAAAAAAATCACAATCCCTAGATTTTATGGTTCATATATGCAAGAAATGATAAAACTACAGAAGTCAATGACAGGTGCCTTCGTTTTTTAGTTTTCCTCTTAGTCTCTTCTTCCCTGTCTTTAAAAAAATGTGCTTATCCTTGTCAATTGTAGAACTGCTGTGCCCATTTGATTGGCAGCCATTGAAGCCAATAAGATGAATGGATTTGCTGCACCTGGATTAGGTTATGGCAAAGCCTGGGCTCAAATCAGTGGTCAGTAGGGACAGCAGGAGGGGGAAGCAGGTCAGTTAGACACCTCCAAAAAGAATCAAGAAGAGGTGACTTTTAGACTTAAACTCATAAATACATACACACTGGTAAAACAAAATGAATACAGTTAGCCTGCTATGAAAATCATCCATCTATACCTAAAAGAGAGTTTAGTGCAAAGCACCCCAAACTTCAGTCCTACTGATCTGGGGTGCAGTCATAAGGCGGAATGTGGTCGCAAGTCAGTGAGCGAAAATCCAGGTGGCTGCCTGACTGCATGAAATTGGTGTGAACAGGAGCTGGTTATCAAGAAAGCAAGAAAAAGAGAGAACCGGAAGGTCATAGAGGCCTTCTGGATGGCAGAACCCATCCTCCTGAAAGGAGCTGGGAAAGACACAGTCTTAACAATGTGGACCAAAGCATGATGGTTCCCGTGATAGAATATTGAACCCCAATTGTGGGCAAGAGTGCCTGATCATTGACAACAGCATTTCAAGGTGTGTTAGCAGCCCCTGTTCTGATTCT